TGAGTGAGTGAGTGAGTGAGTGAGTGAGTGAGTGAGTGAGTGAGTGAGTGAGTGAGTGAGTGAGTGAGTGGGTGAGTGAGTGAGTGAGTGAGGTTGCTGTGGTTGTGTGTGAGTGGCAGGGACGGGGAGGGAGTGTGGGGTGGGTGGGTGCGTGGAGGGAGTGAGGGGGGGTTGGGATGAGGTGAGTGAGGTGAGGTGATGGCTGGAGTGAATGCGTGAGGAGAGGGGTGGGGTGAGTTTTATGTGGGGTGAGTGAGTGAGTGAGTGAGAGTGAGTGAGTGAGTGAGTGGGTGAGTGAGTGAGTGAGTGATGAGGGAGGAGAGCGGGAGGAAGGAGCGGATACAGAACTAAAAACAAAAACCCCACACGTCAATGTGGGGAAATTTAAATTGACTGTGGATTGATGTGGATTGTTTGTTCTGAGCCTAAGAGTGTTTGCTCGGGATCGTGTGCAACTACCAAAGCCACTCTATCATCACATGTTGAAGCTTGAAAACCCACGATCTATGCATGTTTGGAGATTTAGAGTGACCAGGAGTGTCACTCCGAGGCGGATACAAATCAGACTGCTAGAAGCCAACTCTTCAAACACGATCAAGCACAAAGGTTTTGCAATGTGGAGTCAGGAGTCATCTGTATAAATGATCTTGATATACCTTGAGTTTGGAAGCCCCGGGCTATTGCGTGGGTTCAGGAATTGAACCATGCTTGCGTTTGGGGTTCTCAATAATATTCACAAAATCAAGCGTGCCTATCATCACGGTGAACTCTCAAAGCATAGTTTTGTAGGGGTGCTTGGTTGTATCAGAATTGTTCTTGGCGATGTCCTTATACTTTCTGATTGCGACTGTAGATTTTGCATGTGCTGGTATCATCGTGTATCATCCCGCTTCATTGATTAATTTCCACTGTTTATTGGACACAAACCACACGGCAATATGGTTCTTTGAAATCTGCTGGCTGGGCTGACTGAAGTCAGCCAAGCCAGTAGCAGCTAAGTAACGATAAAATTTCCCATCACATTTGCTGACCAATAGTCAAATCCTTCTTATTCAGGGTACACTGTTTCCCCATATATACATTCAGTCAACGCAATATTATTCATATATACATGCACATGCATGTACATCTCATTTGATTCCTGTTCCCGCATCACACGAATTGGTCCCAATCTCTAGCTATTCAAACTGGCAGCACCCCAAATCCCCATCTTCAATTATTCTTATCCATGCCAACCCCCATTTCATAACCCCCTGGATTGTTTAATTTTGGTAGAATGAAGACATATTAGCAAATCATGATCATCAACCGCAAGGTGGTGCCCCGATAGTTATAAGCTGGTGTGGTGTATAAACTCTGCTAACCTATATTATAGGTATTGTAAATATGTATGTGTGACAAACCCTACAGCAATTACGTTTGTTCTAAACCAACTTGGCCATATACCAAGCTACTTATGGTTGTTGTAGACCAACATTGGGGTTGACAATCACTTTTGTTATAGACTTTACTGATATGTTTGTTATAGGCACGAGTGCCTCGCCACATCGGGGACCTGTCCAACGACGGAGTCGCGCGGGAAGCAACGCGTCAGGCGTTTTCGGCTTGGGCGGATGGGGGAGGCTTCATCTAAGTATTGTCTTGCAGAATGCACAAAAAGAATCAATATATAAATATATTTTTTCTTTTGGTAATCAAAAAACTCGAAAATAAACATGTTCCTTGGTTGAGGATCATGTTTTTTCCACACATGAATGGGGTGGGGGTTTGCCACTACAGGTTTGGATTGCTGGAAATTACGTGGGGGCCACACGTACGAATCTTACCGGCTAGGAAGTTGATCTGGGGGATGATCAAAAAGGTGAAATCATTTGAGCGTTTACCAACACACATGCACACATCTATCGATTGATCCACTTATCTAGCTACATTTATGCACCAATAATTTATCAACATATATAGACTATGTATATAAATATGATATATGCATTTTTGAATAAATATTAGTTATGTATATATATATATATATTAATATATTGCATGCATCATTTGTAAGGTTTAAGCCAAAAAATGATTTTGCCTTGTGGGACTTCTGCGTTGAGGTTGCAGAGGCGTCGTTTGTGATTTGGTTTGCAGTGTTTTTTGTCAAACAAAACAATTGTATGCACAGAGAGGTATAACCAAGGAAAATATGGATCTAACAGCTCCGAATAGCACTGGGTTATCAATCCTGACGTTCCTACAGATTTTGGCGGGATTCGGAAGGCCTGCAATTTAGCCCTGCAATTGCCGTGGCCTCTCATCACTTACAGACATCAGTGAATGTAGAATCTAGAGGTACTGGGTAAATAATGCGATGCAACCTAGCAGAATGAGGATATATATATATATTTACATTTACATATGTGTGATATATAATGGGAGATATCATGTTTGCGAACAAACATAGTATATATTGATTATAATATATGTACGGATATATTGGCCTCACTGTGGCGTCACTCTATAAGAGATGGTTAGGATTGGGATATCCCAACATTGTGTCTGAATGTTTCTGGTTGGTGCATTATTGTAAATGATCCTTTTGTAGAATCAAGATGGGGAGAGAAATCAAATATATCCAACATTCATGATCAGAAGTGGTTCCAATGTAAAGATTGTGTTTTCTCACATGGGGCCATCATTTTCGGGAAGCTTCCCAAAACAAATCTTCGAAGATGGTTGAAGATGTTCGGAACCTGCAGTAAAACAGATTGTTTTTTTAATGAAAAAAATCGAGCCCATCGAAAAACACTGGGGATCACTGGCCGCGGCCGCGTCGCAGATTCCTATCACTTGGTGGAAGTGGGTGCCTTGACTGCGCCTAGATCAGGACAAGCGACTGAATTGCAAAGAAAAAAACAAGGAAAAGCTTCTAATTGGGGCTAAAACCATGGTATAAAACATATATACAAACATTGTTTTTCTTGCGCATGTTCCTTTACACCAGCCCATTGATCATCGCATTATAATATGTTTCCAGATGTTTCTGATTTTGTTGCGAAAAGTATTGAACAGTCTCAGATTATCCCAGGTGTTTGTTACTTGCCAGGGGTCCTTTGCAATCAAACGGGGCTTGAGATTTCCGCAAACCGCCGCGCTGAGGCAGCAAAAATGGCCGCTCCAACCAGGGGTCTCCTGACCTCACCATGAAGCCGGCACCGGATCATGCAGGTTCCATTGGGAGAGATCCAACTTGATGATTGTCTGTGGCTATCTCGCTAAAGGAAAAGCTTGACATTGTATCTAGGATTTGCTATGGATGGGCCCATGATGAATTTCAATTCAGCTCGCGGGTTGATGCCAGTTGATGCCACCATATGCGACCCAATTTGAACCGGACAATTTCAATTGGCCATGGGTTGCCCTTTTTTCCCATGCAATGTTGAATTTTGAACGCATTCTTTGGGCCCAGATTTTGACAAGGTGGACCTTGGAGCCTGGATTGGCACAAAGGAAAGCCTCGAGAGAGGTGGGCAGAACAGGCCAGCCTCCCAAATCTCTGCGTTGCCTGGGTAAGCTGGAAGGCAACTTGTTGCTGTTGGACATGCACGGTGCTGACTACTTATTTTGTTGAGTTCTTGCGCATTGCAGGGAATCCATTGATTATTTGTTTTCTCCTAATATGAGTCAAGTTTTGCTTGTAGCAGATGCCCTCATTGTTGCAAAAACGTTTTTTTTTTCTGAAAATTTGCTAGGGGGAAGTCCTGGAAATGTTGCATTCATTTCGATGAATAAAGATCTGATGGTTATTCTTAAGCCCTAAGGGGAATCGTCCCCAAATGGCCTTGTTTCACTTCTTTTTTTGGTTAGTGAATCATTATTTATTTGGAGGTTCCGAATCCATGGGTAGCTCCAAATCATCCACATCATGGGTGACCACGTGCCAGATGGACAGAGAAGAGTCGCCGGCCACTTCGGTGGCCAAAGGTGGAGGTCGCCAAAGGGCTGCCGTGGCTGCCCTTTGGTATTTGAACATAGCCATAGAAAATGGCCAAGTGCTGGAGGACTACCATAGCTATGTGTTTTATTACCATTCATAATATAGTATAGTATAAATATGTATAAATATAATACAACATGATATAATATTCTAATATATTATATATCTGGTAGAGCTACAAGCACGCCCAAGGCGAGGTACTAATTTGTTTGGATATCTCCAGCGTTTAAATAACCGTTTTGCCAACCATGGCCACAGTTAGATACTTACCCCTTTCACGTAGAAGTTTCCTTGTATAAATGGTTTGGTTTAAGGGAACATTTGAAGGAACTTCCATATTTCATAGGAAAAAACGTAGGTAGTTTCCTGTAGGTTTTCCCTTACACCATTGATTGTACTGGTCTGATTGCCCTCGATGAATATAGCAAAACCTTACCTACTGGCTGCAAGTGATGAACATGTGAATGGTTGTTGAATGATTATACAGCCCCAAGACAAATCCAAACATGCGTTAAAGTTGGAAACACGGAAATGAGGGTGAAAAGGTCATTTACAACTTTTGTTGAAGCTGTCAGGCATCTATCTATCTCATCTAATCTAATATTAATCTAACGTAATCTAATGTAATTTAATCTAATATTAAGCTAATTTGTTCGTAGCTATTTTCATTGTTTATCTAATTTTTATTTTCTATCATTATCTATTCTAACACGTTCTTTTCTATTCTAATCTGTTCCAACCTATTATTATCTATTCTAGTCCTATCTGAATCTAGTCCTATATAGTCCGATCTATTCCAATATATTCCTATCTATTCCAATCTACTCCTCTCTATTCCTTTCTAGCTATGTATCTATCTATCAATCTTTTTGTTTATCAATCTATCGATCGATCCATCAATCCATCAATCTATCAACCCAATCGATCAATCAAATAATCGAACCGAACCTAACCTAATATTATCCTGTATTATCTTGTTTACCTTTTCTCACCTTCCGTATCTTATCTTATCTTATTT